GACGCCGATCCGTGTCCCAGCTCCATGCGCCGCAGGAAGGAGGCGCGGAAGCTCCCGTTCAGCAAGGTTGGGACGCTGCGCTTTCCGTCGAGCAAGCGGATGCCTGCGCGATGGGTAAAGATTGATCTCAACACCAGGTCTGCCGAGCGGCAGGCCATGGTCGACCGGCTTGCGAGCCTGTCGAGCGAGCAGATCAGCAACCTTTCGAGGCGCTTCTACCCGAGATTCTCCGCGCAGGAGCTGCGGGAGAAGCTGGCGCACCTGACGGCGATGCCGCCCGCACAGTCGTCTCCGGACGGCCAGCTGCTGGGAAAGGCGCTCAAAATTGCCGCCACCAGTGCTCTTCGCGAGCTCGTGTGCGGCGAGCAGTCCATCTGGCAGCTGCCGCCGCCGTCCGCCCTCATCTCGGTCACGGGCGGCGCTGGATCCCTCAACATGACCGACAAGCAGAAGCTTGTCTTTCGGCGCGGGCTGCTGTCCGCGGCTCGCACGACCAACGCGTGGATCATGACGGGCGGCACTAACGCGGGCGTGATGGAGATGGTGGGCCGGATGCTGCAAGAGTCCTCGGTCGAGGTGCCGTGCATCGGCGTCACGTCGTGGGGCGTGGTCGCCGACAAGGAGGAGATGGCCAAGAAGGCCAACGGCCGGGTGCTCGACTACAATGGCAAGACAAAGCTGGGGGCGAAGTTCGAGGCCGCGGAGCAGCGCGTGGCGCTGGACCCCAACCACTCGCACTTTGTGCTGGTTGACACGGGAGCCGAGGGCTCTTCCGCGTTCGGGAAGGAGATCGCGTTGCGCAGCATGTTCGAGACTTGCATCTGCACCACCTCGTTCGGGGTCGACGAGGAGGGCTCGCCGCTGCCGACCCCGCCGATGGTGCTGCTGGTCGTCGGCGGCGGGCCCAACACGCTAGAGACAGTGAAGGCGTGCCTTGAGCAGGAGCGGCCCGTGGTGGTCTTTGTCGACTCTGGGGGCGCCGCCAAGCACATGCGCGACTGCTGGGACAACAGGCTGCTGCGGCGGCGGGGCGACGAGGCGGCGAGGGCAGACGAAGAGCTGTGCAAGTCTTTTGGCCTGAGCCTGCCGAGCGAGTGGACGCCCGCGCGGTACATGAGCGTGCTCAACGAGGTTTGTGTCCTCGGCGAGAAGCCCCGAGGCGCGATGCACGTGCCGCAGCTCACCTTTTTCTCCACCTCCGACGACGTGAGTGCCGGGAACGACCTGACAGCGCACCCAGGAGTGTCAGGATACACAATCTCAATCGCACACAACGACACGGCGCCCCGTTGTGCTACAGGGTAAGGTAAGGTAAGGTAAGGCGTGTGCTACAGCTTACTATGTCTGACACTATCACTAATCCGCGTGCGCGCATCCTCGTAAACACTTGCTACCGACGGAGACAATGCATGTGTGTATTGTGTACTATTGTGAGAGGCAGGGTATGAAACATGAACTGTGAACTGGGCGTGGCAGCTGGCACGCCAATCGAGCTACACTGAGGCCAACGCCTCCGCAGCCTTGCCCTGCAGCAGCTCGGCCTCCGCTCCGGAGATGCCAAGTGCGCTCGGCAGCCCATCCGGCGACAAGCCTGTGATGCTGGCGTAGACCACGATGGCCGCGAGGTAGGTGCCGAGAGCAGAGGGATGGGTGGCGTCCCGGTCGTAGAGGCGGTACCACAGATCGCGGTCGGCGCCATACACGAGCTCAAAGGCTGACCCCACGGGTGCAATGATTGGCGCGCGGCCGTCGGTCGTTATGAGCGACGCGTACCGCCTGTACCCCTCCTCCACGGCGTCATTCATTGGCAAAAAAGACTGGAAGTACGGAGGACGGTTGAGGCTGCCGCGGCGGCCCCACGTCTGGTAGAGGACCGTCGTTGCTCCCGCCTCCTTGATCGCGGCGTCGAGCTGAACGAGCGCCCTGGTCGACGCCTCAAAGTCTTCGTCTTGATCCGTGTAGCAGCACCTGCTCGGGATGTCCGACCGATCCTGCAGGACCACAAAGTCAAAACCACTGGCCAGGGCCACATGGTGACCGGAGCTCGGGGAAGACACCTCCTGCCAGTGGTAGTTGAGACTCGAGCCCCCCTTTGTCAACGCCTGCACGCGGGGCGAGTCGCCGAGGGCGGCGAGGAGTTGAAGTAGCACGCCATTGACGCCGCCATTGTAGTACGTGTA